GGCGATGGTTCCACGGGATTTAAAAGGGTTGTCAAGACTCGACGGAGTGGAAAGTACTCGCATTGGAGTTGACTTCAGTCAGAAGACAAAACAAAGGCGCTTCAGACTAATCTGTGACACAGACCACATAGACCAGAGTGTTGCAGTTATTAACTTATTTTGTTCTCTGGGACACAGAAATCCTTTTCCCACAGCATGTTGCTGCCGCAGATAAAAGCTCGGTGACGGGAGCCAGCTTGAACCTGTCAGCCCTCATTGGGCCATCAATCTCTGATCTGGAGGTGACTGTGGGCGAATCTGCTGCATCACTTTTCATGGTTTAACACAATTAGGACGCACACAAACACACCTACAAACAATACAAACTCATGGATAAGTGACCTGTTTAATGGCGTACTCACCGACAGAGCGGTGGATGCATGTGTGCTGGTTGTCGCTGAGGAAGAAGCCCTCCTTGCAGCGGCACTCGTAGCTGCCCATAGTGTTGACACAAGTGTGCTGGCACCCACCATTATTGAACTTGCATTCATCAACATCTGCGGAACATAGTGGGATTGATGGCATTACCAAACAGTTTACTAAACTCCAGAAAAGTATTTGATGTGTTCACAAAGGAGCTTTTAACACTCAGCTGTTTTGTTCAGTGTTGCAAACGTTGCAGATGTGTTTTTGGAGCACGCAGCCCACACAGACGTGCATTCTTCACCACCAGGACTGATGATGGTTCCGTCTACCGCATTTAATTAGTAGCTTAAAGATGATCTCACCTAGACAGTTGTGGCCATCGTGTGCCAAGTTGAATCCGTCATAACAAGTGCAGCGATAATTGCCTGGAATATTGTTGCACTCTTGTACACAACCGCCGTTGTACTCCAAGTCGCATTCATCGATATCTGAGAGGTAAACACCACAGAAATGGACGATCAGAAAGTAGAAATGCCAAATGTTTTAGGCTTTGAACAGCAAGATGTGAGGGGAACATTAAATATAAAGAAACACTGGAAGAATAATGGATAAGATCTGACTAACTTTATGTAGATAAAAGAATGGCAGCATGTAGTTAGTAATGAGGACATTAAAGCTCCAGATGTGTAGATAAACACCCAGACTTTTGGTAACAGCTCAACATTACCTTCACAGTGTTTCCCATCTCCTTTGAAGCCTGCTTTACACGTGCACTTGTACGAGCCTTGGGTAGTCTGACAAATAGCATCGATGTGACAGCCATCACTTCCCTCTGCGCACGGATCTGCTGAAATCCATTTATGCACAACTCAGTATCACCAAAACACACGGAAAAGGCCAAACAGGGGGTCATTTACCCAGCATGGCCCTTTCAAACGGACACATTTTATGAGATTACACTAAAGAAGACGAGCGACAGAACTCTGGTTTGACTGACAAACACTCAAACATGATCATGATAATAAGCATCTATAGCGGGCAATTTGAAAAACCAGTGAAAACTAATCCTCAAGTTAATCAATTACGAGATTAAATTTGATTTTACAAACTTAATTGGAGAGCAGCAGTAGCCCTTTTTTTCTAATAAAGCAGCACATTACTGGGGAGAAAATGTAAAAGTCACCGCTGGGGAAACAACAAGAGCGCACTCCTGAAAGCGTGCGTAAAAGTAGCACGACTGGAAAACACACAACACACACACACACACACACGCTCACACACTCACTACAGTCCCACCTCGAATCTCTGGAAGCGCTGCGCTTTGGCGACTATTTAACAAGAGCAAAAACAAACAGAAGTCCCTTGTAGCCCAAATAGCTCCCATGGTGATATGATCCAAGTTTAGAGGTCTCCTCCAGAGGACGCGTACGCACTGGAGTCGTGACCGAGCGTCCGCCTCATTTTCATTCTAGCCTGTCAATCTGCTTCACAAGGGGCTTTTCAAAAGAGAAAGGAGTGAGTGACCGAGTGTGTGTGTGTGTGTGTGTGTGTGTGTGTGTGTCTGTGTGTGTGTGTCTGAAAGAGAGCGAGAATGAGCTCGTGCGTGCGCGTACATGTGAAAGTAGAAAAAAAAAGAGCCGCTTTTGAAGCAGAGTTGAGTGAAGAGCGTCCGACAGGCAGAGAGACGGAAGTGTGGCGGCTGTGAGTAAAGCTTCAGCTCCAGCAGCGACCTGAGCGGCTGTTATTTTGAAGGTTCGCTCCAGAAGCTCTCCGGTGAAGTTCTGGAGTTCTGTGGAGCAGAACCTTGTGAATGAGGGCTCCTGCGGGGCCTTTTAACACATAAAAGGAACGAATACAGGAATACGTATGAGACTTTGGCCGCTTTTCGTCGCTGACAGATGAAAAGCTAACTTAGCTAGCTGTTAGCTCATTAGCTTGTCCTGTGCCGTTAGTTAAACAAAGTGGTTGCTAGGCAACACAGGTTTTTCAGTGCTAATGTTTTGCCTCACCTAGCTAGCTAAGCTATCGGTAAACACGGGGGCTTTTAATCTTACTTAATGAATTAATTTTGCTACAGAAGTATAAAATAAATCCTTAATTCCCTTTCAAACATGCTACCTACCGGTTTCCGTCTGTTTCAGCAGCTCTGATCAACACATGGATTTTACTCCAGACTCGACCAAAAACTCTGCTTTAAGACAAACTGCAGATTTTCTTCATTTGGTTTCATCTCCCAACATGCAGCTCAATGATTCAGGAGAATAATGGTTCCCTCTCTTCAGAGGAAGACTCTGGTTCTTCACAGTGCCATCAGTCATTAAAGAACTTCCTCATTTAGTCCAGCACTTCTCAACTTTTTGAGCTACTGCCCCCAAAATAACATAAGTGTGTGTTCGTTTTTAAAAAAAAATATATATCTCATGACTAATAACTTTGTTGTTTATGCATTAATGCGTTAAAAATTAATGTGTTAATTCCACAGATTAATCTCTTCACATTTTCTTTTGAATGAAGGAATGAATTGAATTTATTTTAAACAAATGAAAGGGGGAAAAAAATATAAAAATAAAAGAATATTTTACATTTTTAAAAGAGCAAAAAAGAATAATAATATCACATAGTCAAATCATAATATTAACAAGTCTGAAAAAGGAGTGGGAAGAAGTACACTTTTAATTCTGACAGCCCTAATACACATTTATTTGATAAATGCAGGCTTTATTTTATTTACAATGATCTGGCGACCCCCTGAAATTATCTTGGGACCCTCATGGGGGTCCCGACCCTCAGTTTGAGAACCACCGATTCAGGAGATGGTTCCTCACCATAAGATTCTTCATTTTTATTGGTGTGATTTGTGTGGGTGGCAGATAATAGCATGAAATTAGAGATGCAACTAATGATTGTTTTCAGGATCAATATGAATAATATTTTCTCAGTCAGTCCTTTAGTCTATAAACCATCAGGAGGCATCTTGTGAAGTGTTTTTGTTTCTAACAGTAGAACCCATAATGATGAATGTGTTAGAATAGAAGGGACGTTTGCAAATTTTTACATTTTCCTGTGTTGCTTAAAAATTACTTAGTCAAGTCCTGATATAAAACTTGAACCAGGTGGGTCCACAAAGAACTATTTTGAAAATAGTAGCTTGAATAACTTGTTTTTGCTGAAGCTCGTTAGAGCGTCATTTATCATAAGGAGGTATTTTTATTAATGTTCTTTGAGGCATCTTTAAGGTTTGGTTTTCAGAAGTGATTTTTCATAAACCTCTTGCTTGAATGTTCTTTGTGGAACTAAAAATGGTTCTTCCACTGTATAGAAAGGTTCATTTAGCACCTTTATAGTGTATTTGTAGTGGATACCAATACTCCTAGATCAGGGGTCTCGAACTCCGGTCCTCGAGGGCCGCAGTCCTGCAAGTTTTAGATGTTTCCTTCTTCCAACACACCTGATTGAAATGATCAGCTATTCATCAAGCTCTGCAGAAGCCGGAAAACGATCCTGATCATTTGAATCAGGTGTGTTGGAAGAAGGAAACATCTAAAACTTGCAGGATTGCGGCCCTCGAGGACCAGAGTTCGAGACCCCTGTCCTAGATGGTTCAAAAAATGTTATTTAAACCTACAAACCAACAGATAAGTGTCAGGCAAAGAGAGAACATAAGAAGTCTTCCGTGTGCCTTGTTGAATAGAAGCTGCTCTCCTCTCAGCTCTTGCCCACCATCTACTGGTCCAGTCAAATAACACAGCCCACTTCATTCTCTCTCTCTTTTTTTTATTTATAATACAGATCTACTTTGTGGCACAGTATACAAAAAAGCATTAAAAAAACAAAAAACCATACATTTCATGTTCAAAGGAAGTGCACAAAATTAAAAAAACAGACTTTCTGAAAGGCTCTACACCAGTTATCTCAAAAATTTCAGTTAAAAAAAATGGTTTGTAATAAATAAATATAAATTACATAGGAATTATAATGGAAAGGTCAGATAATTCATTAAGGCACATCTCATATCCCAAAATGTACCTCGCAAAAAACAATATGGCAACTCCCTAAGGATAAAAAAACAACAAGCTTATTCTCCAGCTTAAAAGGAAGCAGCATTTGTCCTTTTAGTAAGAATCATAAACATGTTCAGCATTTAACTACCCTGCCGTAGAAGAGTTTATATATTAAGCAACTTTACAGAGCATTGCCTGTCAACTCATTTAGCTTGAGATTGGTTACACAATGTAAAAACATGAAATAAAAATAAAAGAAAAGAAAGCAACCGTTGTCACTGCAGTATGAATTTGAGACAGTATGCGTCATGGCAAAAACTGTGCAATCTGAGCATTAGTTTTACACGACATACATGAGAATGACCATGAGACAAAAAATGACTTATTAGAAAACATTATTGCTGAATTAATGGATGCTTTTTACAAGCCAATTTGGTTGAGTAAGGATCCACCGCGTCACACTTCAACAGCCAAAGTGACGGATGGCCCCAGAGCACTTATCACATTCAACATGTCTGCATAGTTTGAACTTTGACAATTGTTTCTAGAGATGAATGATAGCAATGACAACCACAAATACAGTCTCCTACAGCACTTTGTTTTTGCTAAATTGTGAAGCGACCATGACGTCACGTGTTTCATGTACCTTCAGTTTCGGTCGTCAGCAATAAAACAGTGACATCGCAGCTCGCTGATGCCGCGTTTAAATTTCTACTTTTCCCTGCAGTTCACACATATTTCTGCACAGAGCACAGGCTTCAGCCGTCTATGCCTTCAGAGAAACGTGTTGAAGAAAATGAGATGTGAAAATGGAATAAAACTGGCTTCGCACTAAAGTACGTTTTCAGCACCTTTCAGACACACAAAAGCAGTTGTGTTGTTGTTTTTTTTAAACAGATGTAGTGGTTTTCCATTCCCGTGAGTTAAAAAAAGGTTTGGATGTACCAAAAAGCCAAAATACTGTATTTACAAAAATCCACTTTAAAAACATTTGCTCTACAACATGCACTGCCTGTGATTGGAGGCTGTACAAAAGAAATAAATCACTTTTGTCATTCCAAACGGCAGAGGGGACGTACTGCATGCATGGTGTGACCACATCTATCCCAGTCAGTGTGCACCGAACAAACTAAAATGGAGTGTTTTAAACTTAAGCCGTGTACATGTCAGAGATGATGTGTTCTTATCTATTTACACGTTAAAAGGTCATTATGGATTCATAATGGATCCCTGGTGTCAGCAAAAGCCATTTGTGTACTACAAAAAAACCCAAAACAAAATCAAACAGACTCACTTCTTTGCACACAAGGAGCAAACAGAGAGGACGAGACATTAAAGCAACATGTTGAAGAGCCACTCCAACACACAGAGAAAGCCGGGATTAGAAACAGCTGGTGTCTTTCATATGCACACTTACAATTAACAAATTATTAAAAAAACCAAAAATAGAACAGTCCTGATATGTATGAAAATGTGACAAAACTATGTACAAAAAGCTGATCACGTAATACAAAATCATAAAAAACAATTCATAATCAAAAGTGGAGCCTTAACGAAACGCGTCTCCTCATCCTATAAATAACACTAATGCCCTTTTTTTTTTTTTTGTTCATTTGTGCTTTCTATAAAAAAAGAAAAAGAAAATTAACTCTATACAAAAGTACAAAAAAATACCCATATTAAAAAAAAAAAAGGAATATTAGGTGGACATCTAACTAACTAACTAGTGGGGAAGTGGAAATGAGAGGTCTGCCACTGGAGACAAATCCAGGTGATGCCATGGATAACCCTACAGGGGGATTCAACATAAGCCTTCACCAGGTTTCTTTCATGTCTTCTGGGAGCTGTGGAGCGAGCGTGTCCGGCATGTGTGCGGCCACTTGTGTGGACGTCAGTGTCTTCTGTTTTTTGGAACTGCAGCAGGGCTTGAAAAGTCGGGGATCGATAATCACCTCTCCAAAGCGACCTTTGTAGACGATCCCACAGCAGACCTTTTGCCTAAATAGAGAAATAAGGTTATTCATCATATAAAAAACAACAAAGAGTGTATTTTGTCTGGTCATAAAGGCAACTGGCTTGCCTTTTCCAGTAGGAACGATCCAAGAAAGAGAAGATGGAGGGAGTGGAGCGTCTCTGTTTGGACTCGATGTCTGAGCCATCATCGGACTGGTTGCTGTAACTGGGAGACTGGGCCGGGGACACGCTGGAGGTTGTGCTGTGGGCGTCTGAATCTGCTTGGAACAAACCTAAACAGTTAAATACCATCACAGCATTTAGTAGAAAACCTGCACAATGACTTTCCAGCAAAAGACAGAAATGTAAATGGATAGATCTGCTTTATATTTGTAGGGGGAAAAAAAATGTACATTCAATATTTGTAAAGTTGGTCTGATTCCAACTAAATACCAAATATATTCATTATACATTCATCTACCAGTTTTTTCTTCTTTTTTAATCTCTTAATCAACCAGTCAAATGTCCACATTTCCCCTTGAGCCAACGTTAACACGCTTAAACGACACATGCAGCAATTAGTCATTTAACTAATTAGTTGTCTGACATAAAAATGAAAAAGCGACTATTTGAATGATTGAATAATCGTCATTCTCAAACAAAAAACTCCAAAACTTGCAGATTCTTTTGTTGTTTTACTCATTTTTTGGGAGCTAATCCACTTGTTTAGTCCAACAAATTGTTTGAATGATGACCCAAATAGCCACAAGACGCCACCACACGGTCATATTTAATCAGGTTTAGGTGACAATCAGACCAAACTCAGATTTGTGTTGTTGATCATTTTGCATTCTAATGAATTCACAACACACGTGCATGCTCCTGGTGAATATATGAAACAACTTACTTTGTCTCTTTAGCTTGTGAAGCTTCCTCAGTTTGCTTTTCTTTTTCCCGTCGCTGTTCTTGATCTTCTTGGGTTTTGTCATCTTAAATCCGGGACCAGCTCGAGCATCCACCACCTGAGTCGGATCAGGCAAAAACACGTCAGGAATGCCACTTAGGTTCTTAAATATAATACTCATGAACACATCACTTACATGGTTCCAGTTCTTCTTGGAGCCATGAGGCAGCTTCTTCCACCTCTTCACCAGCAGCACACAGGCGTTGCAGATGTCTCCAACACGATCCTCCGAGAGCCTGAACAGCAAAATCAAACACCATTTAAAGTGTTTTTTAATTACAACCTGAAGCAGAATCTGATGCACATGTAGTCACTGGCCTTAAAAGCATGCACACAGATGAATGAATGAGTGAATGAATGGAGGCTTTACCCAAAACACAGTCTGAACGTCTCCTCATAGCGGCTGCTGTCTGTGAAACGGGAACTGGAGGACTTGGTCTTGCAGATGCAACAGCCGTCGTTACTCCGGTAGATCTTTGACTTGTGAAAGCCAAACATAGTCTATTTGCTGGTCAGTTCTATGGCAACAAATCTGCAAAGGTAAAAAAAATAAAAAAAAACATTAAATAAAGCACCCGGTCGGTAATTGCCCCGGTGTGAAGCACCGTGGATGCGCGCACACAGTTGAGCTCTGTGCTGCTGGAAGGGGGGCGGTCCCAACACACACACACACACACACACACACCAGCGACCGCTCTTAACCCGCAATTACAACAAATCCTACAAGAACCCACCTTTTAGGGTATTAGTGTATTAAATAAACATCGGTAAAACGCGTGATTCGGTTCGGCTAAAGCATTCCAGTATCTTCAGGAATTTAAAGCCAAGTGACGGGACACCACAACAAAACAGACAACCTTTGACATCACATTTTAACCCAAAGATACTGTTTGTGTTATCAAAAAAAATAAAACTTAAAGTTAAGTTGCGCATCTGAAACCGGGTCCTGAACTTTCCAGCACTCCGTCCGTCCGTCCGTCCGGTGAGCAGAACCACACCGACGTTACACCCACCACACGAGCACCGCGTTACTGTCAGCAAATGCCATCAAAGCTCGCTTTTTAAACACCTCTGCGTGAATCGGAACTTTTAGGAATTCACAGGCAAGAATATGATTATTTTATTTCTTCTTGTTTGACGCTGTTTCGCCGCGGATTTGTTTGCGGGGCAAATCCGAAACAAAAAGCGGGCAAGCAGCGCTTTCTGAAGTGCAGAAACAAAAAGCTACCGGGCTATTCGCTGAATTTACGGCTGTTCGAGTCACACGCGTTCGTCAACTTGGCACAACTAATGCATGTTGTCAAAATTTTAATGAGACAGAAAAAGTTGCGATGAAGCCAGCCTTCCCTTTAAATCCGAACTTTTGCCCGCTAGAGCGCCAAATATGGCTCATTGTTGTTAGCTGTTAGCATGCTAGCTAGCCGACGCTGCTACCATCACCACGCCACGCTCTCGTTCACTTCCACGTTATCCCATTGTCGGGTCGGTTAAGTCTTTGTACATTTAGCCCGCGACAACTGGAGACGCGCGCGTCAGGCTGCGATAACACGCCGACGCGGCCGGTTTTTATCACGCCGAACAAACCGCTAAAAGCTCGCAAACGTAATTTCTGTACAAGAGAAGTAAGAGTGTACTTACTGAACAAAAACTTTGAATCTTCGCTGTGTTCTTTTCACGCACTGCGCATGCTCTTACTACTACTGCACGCATACAGCTGGCTATTAGAATACGATTTGCATAAAAAGCCGGAATGAAAGGGCTGAACGTAAATGACCATATAAGGAGTGCAGCCGTTGGGTTTGAACATGGGTTTAACCAATCGCTGTGCTCTTCACGTACTCTCGGGACGATATGAATGATGGGAAATGTAGGGAAAACGCGGCAAAGCGCTGTGCTGTCGCTCTGCTCCAAACTCCAAATCCCATAAATCAACAAGCCGACGCCTTTAAAGAAAAACAGCTATCTGACATGGCGCGAACGAGTTTGTTTACATTTTCTCAGCTGAGAAAGCGCATTCAGCGGACAATATACATCCACAAACAGCTTGTTAATGCAAATGTAATTAATTACTGTCGCGTTTCACACCTAGGATTTATTACTTTAAATGCTAAACTGAAGTATTTTATTAAGTTTTCCTTCTAAACCTATTTTTTTAACTGACTTAATCACTTCAGTAGCAGAAGCTGGCCAATAACTAGTCATTGTCAGTTCACTAGTCATTTATATTTACACTTAATCAGCATAAGATTATCGTTTAATTACATTTATTTCAACTGATAAATCATTTGCTCTATAAACGTTTGGAAAATATCAGAGCCCTGTTAACATATTGATATTAAAATAAATAATAAAACAATAAAACCTTTAATATTTAAATTCCACATGCTGAAACCATGAGACTTTTCAAGCGATTTACATCTTTTTTTTTTATATCCAAGGCAATTCATTTAGCAAATAATATATACTAATGAACAACTGGTACGTCCATTTTAATGCATGACAGATGCTTTATTCTTAATATATTTTTTACACTGTACACTGTTGCTCACTTAGTAAACACTACATTACACAGCTATGTCAATAAATGTACAACTGTATTGGAAAACAAAAATATATATCTCCCAAGATGCTCGTGTGTGTGTGGGTCGTACACAGATGAGTACAACACAGTCATTCCAGACGTTGTTGGCACAGAAAAGAAGTCCATCACATATCAAATCTCTTGTTCTGCACAGTAAAGTTCAATGTATATAACGGAGGAGGGGCCCGGTAATATCTCAATTTTTCTCTTGTGGATATTGCATAGCAGGAAATCATGATGAAAAAAAATAAAATCAGGAGGAGGGGGGAAAAAAGCAGTCCCTTTGGCTTCCCAGATGAGAAGCAGGAGATCATCCTTCATCACGAGGGGCTCTACTCACATCATTACACTGTTTTTGTTGAGAGAAGAGGGCAGATGTAGTATGAGGACTGGAATGATGGTGGGGAAAGGGCTAGTTGGAGGTATTTACATGAAGGCTGTCATTGTGATCCACTCTGCACACAAAGCTGGGTCAAGCATCTCTTGGTGCACTTGTGTCTGGAGCACAAGACTTTGGGTATTTTCCAACTGAATATACCGTCCATCACTGGATACAGGCTCAAGCCACACAGTCTGAGTATCATGCAAGCAGGATCATTTTCTCTGTCGAAGGTATTCTATGTAAAAGATTTGCATACTTGTACTTTTGTCAGGGAAAGGCCCAAATGTAACAGCCTTTTGAGTCCTATGTGGGTGAATCATGTTCCCCTCTACAAACCTCCCTGCCATACACATACTTATAAAGCATACTTCTACATCATTTGCTTCAAGCTCTGCGTTATGACATTGAATTCGGAGTTGACACCAGAGCAAGCAACTTGACTGATTTAACAAAATAATACTGTTTTTCTCTGAAAATATATTAACAGTTTTGATCATCGCTTTCCCTTAAATAAAGCCATTGTCAGCAGTTCACGATAACAATGAAAATATTTAGCTTTCAATAAAACATTATAGCACAAGGAGGTCATCGTCAATAATGTGAAAATCATGGTTCATAATAGAAAACATATTTTTAACATCTAATGGCAACATCGTCGAGGATAAAAATAACAACATATCTTGAAAGGCTCATTGCACTTAATATATGGCAAATGTAACAGTAGCTTTAATATAAGCCAGAAAGTGTCCTTTGTTCAAGTCTGTTCCTGCATATAAAAGGTTCAGTTGTTTCTTTTTAGTGGTCCCCAGTGATCTTCCTGGTCAAGTACAACTGGTGGGAAGTTGGCTTAGATACCAACACCTTTGACGAGCGAAGCCTCCAGGGTGATGTTGAATTCCTGCAGAGTCTGTAGTACTCTGATCAGAGAGTTCACCAGCGAGCGGTCCTTAATCAGTGCAGTGTCCTCGTACATCTGAGCAGTGATCGGACAGTCTGCGAGCAGAGCGATCCAGTGATGCAGCAAATGGTCCCTGAGAGGAGAAGAAGACAGACAGATTAATGCTACAGCCAGTCAGGTTACAATCATCCTAAAGAGATAACTGAATGTAAAAGGAAGCCACATTACACAGCAGTTAGTTTCTTTATCAATTAATATGTCTTTAATTCAATATTATGGTGAAAACCCCTATCACAATATCCCAGTGGTGGAGGTGAGATCTTCTAATTAGTCAAAAGCTGAGACGCATCCAATTTACAAAACAAAGCAACAAGAGAAGGTGACATGACTCGTTATTCTAACATTTAATGTAGCTGGTAAACAGCAAAAACCTTTAAATTGTCAGTGATGATTTGTTTATAAACTAATTAACTGTCACAGTACGACTATTTTAAAGTCATTCATAGAAAAGGCTATAAACAGAGTCGTACGTCTCTGTTGAAGAGGCACATGCACTCTGAAACAGGAAGGACTGAATGTAAACCACATCGTATATCTAAATCCGGACAAACAGCTTTTCAATAAAGGCTTGTCGACTCTGAAACACATTAGAAATCGAATTTCTTACAGATATAAGGCTGACTCAAGCCAACCAGAGCTGGAGACATTTTTAGCTAATTCTAATTTTTTTTTTTTCTGTGCAACACCATTAATGTATTTTATTATTTCATTGTGCTGCGATGTTTGTGGTTTTATGAGAATGAAAGTTAACAGTATGAATGAAATTACACTGTGTATGTAAAAGCCCAACGAGGGACAAGAGTTGAACATAAGCTAACGGCTATGTACTCTGTGTGCAGCACGCCAGTTTGTTTTATATGATAAAGTACATCATCTCTATTAAATAAAATAAATTCCACCTTAAAAATAAGTATAATATACTTCAACACTCCTCAAAGCAGACTGTCTCCCTGTAGGTCAGGATCAGATTCAGAGCAGTTCACTGTCTTATCCAAAGCAGCAGCACATACAGTTCAGTCAGCTCCCTTCTTATCTACAACAATGTTCACAATGTTCATCCCTTCTAAATGTGTCATGGAGTGACGGAGTGCTGCCGGCCCACCTTGCGCCCAGACAGACAAGCATCTGGAATTTCCCGTCCTTGCCGATGTTTCTCGACGTGCTGTTGATGGCGCGCATGAAGCGGCAGAAGTGGCGCACTCTGGTCTGCCAGTTTTCATCTGGGGTCGCCTCCCGCTGCTCGGCACTTTCAAAGTACACTTGTGACTTTTCTGTTTAAGCGCAAGATAATTAAAAGGACAAATCAGTAAATAATTTATCACACAATAATAAAAACTGTTTCACACAGACACACCAGCGTTGAAAGGTGACAGGAAAATGTTCCCCTTAACACCAAGTCCAACTTATTTGTTGTCCCTGAAGCTTTTAATCTGATCTCATGATGTTAAATAACTGATATTGCTCAGCTGGCATTGATATAGATTACATGTTAAAGTTGTTTGTTTTGCCTTTTTCTTCTCCAAGAGCAGAGCATTTTCAACATGAATGAAAATTGAACGTGAACCAGATCACGCTGCCAGAGAAGGTCCTAATGGATGTTTGGAAGCATTTGGAGTCCGCTGACAAACCTTGAACTGTCTACGCTTCAGGTCTGGAGGGTGTTAGATATGGCTGAAGTCCTTACCCAAGAAGTCCCAGATGAAGACATTCTTGAAGAGTCGGGGTGATTTGAAACCGTGCTGGAAAACTTGCTCCAGAGCCCAGACGAGGCCGTACTCCCCACAGAGGAGAAGAGTCAGGCTGCCTCTCTGTGGAGAGCAAAACATTCATGAGGCTGGAGTCAAGTTAAGGTTGCTGTTTTGTTACAAGTGAGGACTTTTCTTAACCAGTCTTAACCAACCAGTTCCTAATCTACTGCAGAAAAAGAGAAGCAACCTAAATGTGCGTGCACAGCTTTCTCATGAGTCATATTTAACTTTCAATGAATGCATCATTATTAGGAGAGGGAACTACATTTAGATATGAGATGAAAGAAGCTAAACTGAGTGTTATTTTTAAAGGGAAAAGACGTGTTCAGCCCATCGTGAAAGTGTGACAGAAATACTCTCCATGACTGTACACATGCATTGTGTGCACAGCAACAGGCTCGACCAGAAAACAGAATACGCTCAGTTTCAGAAAGCTTTTTGTTCTGAGGAGTCTCCCTCATTGTTCTGGTCTGTGAAAGAGGCGGAGCAAAAGTGAAGGGGCTTTCCATGTAAAATGCCTTTGTACTTTTTAATGAATGACTCTTTAAGCCTGTAATCAACAGTTTAGTTACAATGAGCTTTAAAAAATCTTCAGTAGGCATCTCCTATCACTGCACCTGCCTCAGTGTGCAGTAATTATCAGTGTTGATGTTTAATGTTGTCCATCTAGAATGGGAGAAATAACAGGCGTCGTTCTGAGCCTGCATCAGGAATAAGGTCAGTTTCCAAACGCCGGCATGAATTCTTATCTGCTCCGTTTGGATGACTATATACCACATAGCCTGCAGTTACTGAGGGGCTTTGGGGCCACCAGAGCAGACAGCTGCTTCTCTTCATTTGCAATGAATAATAGAAGTACATGTTTGGGCCTGTCTAGACTGCCGTCTCCCACCTCCTTCTCTGGCTTGTGGAAGTGCTTCACGATCCCGTTGATGGCCTCTCCCACTCCCTCCTGGATCTGACCTGTGTTTAACTCTGGATGAGGGAAGAAAGAAAAAAAAAACCCAAGGCAAACAAAGATGCTGTGAGACAATGCAGGCTGACACAGGGAGAAAAACTCCCGTCCACGTTTATCTCTTTGTATTTTTTTGATTTTTTTTGTGTAAGCATTAAGATGAATGAGCCTAAAAATGTGTGGAACACGCTTTTAAGATAATCGTTGAATCTCAGATGTGTACATTAAAGAGCCGGTGCAGATGCCTTATGGTCGTGCAGCTGAGTAACTCACTCGGTTTGCTGTTTGGCGAGATGGTAACGAATCTCCTCATCATGCCCGGGGACTGCTGCATCGGAGGTGTGCGGCACATCCTTTCATCGTTCTCCGTGCTGGGGGTCATCAGCTCTCCCACCAGGATCCTCTCCAGACTGCCATCATCCACTCCCTTCCCCAACCACCGGCCGCACGGAAACCTGTTTGGACAAGCACGTTAAAGTTCATCTTTTGATAAGCATCTGGTCAAAACAATTTTCTGTAAACCTTCCCCATGAGGTATGCTTACTTGTACGTGTGCCCTGTGATCTCATTGCGGACCATAACGCACTCCACGAGCCACTTTGCGTAGAGCCCTGTGTTATCGTGACCCATCTGCACGGTGGTGAGTTTGCCCAGGTTCTGGCACTGACAGAGAGAAAACCACACTGATGTCAAACACAAACCCAAAATTACATTCAGAACAACACATTAGGTGGTAGAGTTACAGGACAATTGTGGCTCGTTACTGGTCACCGCTTCAACCTACAATTTGTTGAGGGGGAAAGAAATCAAACACGACAAAAACCATAAGAAGTCGAGTGATGAGAGAAGTTTTAAACAAACCGCTGCAGAGAACAATGATGTCGGTAACATCGCTGCTCAGGCCGTGTATTTTAAACATCTAAGACAGTTTACAGGCGACTGTAAGCGCACAGTTTAAGTCTAACGAGGGGTTTTCTGCTGACGTTTTGAGTCTGTTTACTCACTAAACGGTTGGTTTGTTTAAAACGGTGGAGGACGGGGGCAAATGATGTGCATGTACACAAACGGGCTGCATGTACATGAATGTGTTGCATGAACAGAAACACGCTGCAAAAAGAAAACGCGGCACAATGGACGTGCCCCAGGCCACCAGGGGCAGTAGTGAGAGGCAGATAATGGTGAGCGAGACGGTTAGTTGAGGGAAAATCTGTATAAAGAGGTGTGTATTCTCACAGCAGTAAAACACTGACTGCCTGCAAAAAGAAAATGCTGCATATCCCGTTGCACAACAGAAGTGCCTCCGGCCTCTAGGGGCAGTTTTTAGGTCTTTAGCTTTTCAGTCACTGTGATTATTTGGGTGCTGAAGTGGTGTTTTCCTACCGTCTCCCTGTGCTCTCTCTGTTATTATATTTATCCATGGAGACCAGAGAATAAATACCTTTTCATACAGCTTTTCCCTCAACTAGCGTTACCTGTCTCGCTCACTACTGCCCCTAGAGGCCTGGGGCACTTCCGCTGTGTGACTGGATATGCAGCGTTTTCCTTATGCTCCTATACTACGTTTCTGTTTATGCAACACATTCATGTATATGCAGCTCATTTGTGTAAATGCACGTCATTTTCCACCATAGTTACATTCATGTTTGTTGCCCTGTTAAGCTTTGTTAAAGCCGTACCACCATGCTTCCAGACCCAGAGCAACAAAATAAAAATGACAAAAATCACAGCCCGAGTTCTGATACAGTGGAGTTGTCCTTTATGTGAGATTTAACACAAACCTCAAATGTGATCTCCAGAGTGTTTCTGGGGACCTGCAGGACTCCGGTCTCTGCCAGCTCACCAGAAACACACACCCAAGGGTTGGCTGTGAACATGGAGCCCCCCAGCTTCTTACTGGGAACCACCACGACATGGTAGGGGATCACTGGGAGACAGAGAGGGGAAGGAAAGACGTGTTACACAGTGAACTCGAATCAATAAAAAAACACAAAACTGGTAGTTCATGGGCTGGTAAACAACACTGACTGATGGTTGTGAAGACGTTGGTGAAACAGAAGTAATCGACAGCGTTAAAGGACAGGAGGTGGTAAAGAAACTGCTCCTTCTCATCATCGCATCGCAGGAAGGCGTAGCGCTTGTACAGTTTTCTGGAAAAAAAAGATTTGGAAAAATATTACTGCTTATACCCACAAAAATTAAACAGTTATTTTATTTCAAATCTACCAACTGCTCTTTAATGGTAAAAGCAGCACGACGATGATCAGCTTTAGGACTAATGGATAACAAAGTGCATATTGTTTGTTGTCAGGTAGAAGAAATCACCCCGTAAGGTCACAGAGGCAGACAGAAATCCCCCTGACCCAGTTCACCACTCAGATATTAATTATAAAGGAGGCTGTGCATTATTTATGCAGCGGTGGGCTACAGTACGATGCGCCGCAATTTCAAAGGAGTTAATGTATTATAAATGGCGAGATCACACAGCGTCTTCATTTCATATGAGACAGACATTCCTGCACAAGTAAAGAAAGAAGGTCAAGACGAGAATAAATCAGAGGTAGCAGAAGACTTTCAGCGGTCTTTAAATTGTCTCGGCACGCTACGACTTACTGCTGCTCCGTCTGATCAACACTAAAAATTACATTAGAAAGAACCTCCGACAGTGTTGTTGTTGTTGTTGTTGTGCTCACTTTGTTAGCTCGTGGTCTGAGAGCAGCTGCTTCAGGTGTCTGGACAGCAGCTTCTTCTCCATGGAGAGGCGAACCCAGGCCCTGGCCTTGCCCACGTCTGTCTTGATCTCACTTATATTCTGAATGTGTCTGGAAATGAAACAGAAAGTTTAGGAAGAAAGGAACTGATGCGTCGCCACAACAGGAAACATGAAGATAACTGTGTTTTCATGTCATCGTGGAAATGCAGGGATGGGCAATAATTAAAAATAGCATCACTACAAGTTGATTTATGCCATTAATAGATCTTTTATTTATTTATTGTCTGTCAGCAGAACATTTATGAGGATTTATACACATGTTGTTGTATTATTCTAAATTGTCCAATCTGTCCTTGTGGGTGGATTTAAAATGTCTTATGTCCGTAAAATGTAAAAACATGTTGAAATATGCACATCAAGTGACAGTTTTGTCCCTATAGTAGTTTAAAAATAAAAAAATGTTCATTTTCCACAGATATAAAGCAAAGAAAGCCTCAAAATAAGAAAATTCTTGTACTCGTAAAGTGCAAACCAGTGATTTTTTTTAAAAACAAATGACCTAAAATATGAAGGAATCCACAAAAATGTGACGAATTTTCAATCTATGTTAATGAAATAGGTGACTGATCTTGGGAGCACTTCTACTGTCTGTCAGTGTTGTGACCACAGACGAGTCTCAGTTTTCCCTGCGTGGTGTTTTCACCACAGCAGACTCGCTGAGTGCGCGAGTCGATCCCGTGTCACCGCTCCGAGCCACTATCATGTCTCTGATGTCCAGACACATTCCCTTCCACTCCACCTGTGCCATACGCTCTTCACATCTCCTCCTCCACCTTCCATCCCCCTCTCCCCCGTCTCCACCCTCGACGCTAACTCACGCTAACTAACCCAGTTTTCTCCCCTCGTTATCTCCATGGCAACAGTGAAAAACAACCACTGCGACTGTGTGTAGCTGTTTCTACCTCTTCCTTAAATACAGAAACCAGTGTAATGAAGATATGAGCTGCTGCCATCATCTTTACTAAGACTTAAAAGCTGCTAAATGTGAATATTGACACACTAACTGCCTGTTAAGACAACATGATCAATTATGAAAACTCATCACGGCACGCCGAGTGTTGCTTCTGTGACAGAGCGTATCTACGATGGTGCCGTCAGACGTTCACACGAGTGTGGAGGAGGGTCTATGTGTCAATACGAAGCAGAGCTGTGTGTTCGTGCCCTCCGTTGACCCTCCTCCTCTCCGCTCAGTCAGGCTGGCGGGGGGTCTGCTGGTAATTAGGCTGGAAGTAACACGGTGCTACACAGACTCACTCTGCGTCTTCTCCACGCAACACAAGCCCAGACTTCAGATTCTGGCTGGTTACAGTAGACAACAAGATCAGAGCGATGGCTGCCAGCACACACACACACACACACACACACACACACACACGTGTGTTGAAGCGTGCAGGTGCGCCTCAGGAGCCGTCGGTGTCATGGAAAGGCTCCGTGTTTTTTTAGGAGTAAAAATATACTGGAGTAGAACATTTTGAGCAAATTGGGGCAGCATGCTGGCCTGAGGGTCTGAGACGGTGGTCACGTAATTGGACTGACTTTTGCTGCATGTAGCTTCGTCTCTCTTACCCCTCGTCTCCTCGTCTACTATTAGATGAAGGTGCTGACAAATACTTAGAAAAGGGGTCAGAGCTTCTTCTGTAACAACACCATGATGGTGAACTGAGCTCAGACTTTCAGAATATATAACAGCTCTTTAAGGGTTTCATTTAATCACAATTTCCATTTCTGTGCTTGTATCAGTTCACAATATATTTACGTGAAATGCACGTGTACAAACAGAGTTTAACACATTTATCAGACTACCACCCAATGTCAGGTTTAAACCACAGCTGCCCTAAATTAACAGCACTGGTAATTACCTAAATCATTTTCTATGTTTCTGTAATGGTTAGAACACTAGTGTGTAGAAGTTCTTTAACCAAAATGATATTTTTAATGCCAAAATATAATTATTATTGTTATCCACAAATTTATAAATTTACTGTTTTTACAAAAAACCCCAGAAAAAATAGTAAAGCACTTTATTATTTCTTGATTAAGATGTCAAATTAAAGTTATTTACTTGCATTCCTGGACATAAAATGTAGTTTTAGTGGTTAAATGTGATGCTTGATTCATTTCTCAGAGAAGCTCAGTGAGCTGCTCAGATTTGGGCATAAAAAGGTGAATTCAGTTTAAAATTCTTCTTTCCTGTTCAAGAGCTGAGTGTGAATTAAAGCACTTCATGATGCTTGATGGTCTTTATTTATACAAACACACAGAGACATAAACAAATTTGACATGTGTGAGAGCCATAATAAGAAAAGCTGTATAGATAAGCATGAACATAGCATTAGAGGTCAGTGTTATTGCTGCTAACACTTAAGTCGTGATGGTATCAGTGTTTATGTTGCTGCAATAATGGAAGTGATAAAAACCTTTTCTTTTACGTTTTATTGGCTTCTGCAGATTAAATTCTGTGTCTTATTATTTTGTAGGACTTCTAAGTTACTAATCTTAAATCAGAGACACAAACCCCCAAATTTTTACCGCATTGCGTCTGAGAGAAAAACTGTATTTGTTGTTGGACTGTGTTCCCTGCAGGTGTGGAGGCACCAGAGCAAGAATGTCTGTTTTCTTTGTGACTTTATTGAGGTAATTTAATTTCTACTCATTTTAACTTTGTGAAGCTCTGTTGAGGATCCACAGACTCAGCTTAAAGAATCAGTGATCATATGAACAGTCACTGGAAACAGGTTTTGTGTGCTGGTCTACCACAGGAGGGCAGCATCAGTTTGTCTGATGGAGACCAGCTTTGGGAACACTGGATGAAATTAATCATTCCTCTTTTATTTCTTCATCAACACTGACATCACTGCAGCCTTCCTCACCTCATGTCCTGGATCAGGGAGACTTTGAGAGGCGGCATGGCGGACATGCCCCCGTCAGACTTACGCCTCTCAGTGTCGTGAATAAAACCTGGAACGACATAAAAGAAATAAAAGTGTAACTAAAAACACCAGCTGGTTGACTGATTGTGTTGTCGGGTGAATTGATCGTTTACCTGGAGGTCCCAAACCACCCGGGGTCGCGTTCTTCTTCTCTTTGCTGTCCTGGTAGTGCAGCAGGTGGGACCACAAGGCAGATTTACCCTGAAAGACAAAACACACTATAGAGTCACTATTTGCTCTGAGAGCAACCAGCGGTTGGGGATCACTACAACTACATGGAAACTCCAGTAACCAGGTTTTTCCTGACCTGTTTAACCTGCAGCCCATGGCTCCAGATCCTCTCCAGCAGGTCACAGAGGCTCGCAATCAGGGTGTTCTCCTCGACGCCGGTGATGCTGACTTCTCCGTGACCCAGCTCCACGGCCTCCCGACCCATCTTCTCGACCAGCATGCGCTTGGTCTGCAGAAAAACAAAAGAAATACACACAGAACATTACAGAGAAATCAAACTAACATTACTGGATTATTATTCTGTGCTCTGTTTGCTCACTTCAGATGAGCCAAGTTCTACAAAGAGCAGAGTAATCCAGGTAAACACGAAGCTTTACTTTGCTTTTGTGCTTATTGTGCTTTTGAAATGAACAACTCATGCTTCAAAATAGCATAATTGTAATAGAAATCTAAAACCAGACACATGAGAGTTGGCAAAAACACTGATTTTCTGTCGCCTCAGTTCCTCTACACGGTTCACCCTTTACACAAAACAAGCTCCTTCCTAAAATCACGATAAATGTGTGGAAATTGTGATGACCTTTAATCAAATATAAACGATGTGGCACAGCAGGGACGGCGACAATCACAGCAAAGCTAATCAGCTCGAGCGCAGTAATGCACAAACCTTGTTCCTGCACTCCTTCAGCAGCCCTTCAACAAACTTCCAGTTGGTCTGAGCGATGACAGAAGGTGACAGGTTGGACAGTTTGGGCTGTCGGATGGTTGTGCCCAAGTTTCTGGCTTCCTGGATGTACTTCTGATAAAAGACAGAAAGGATTCAGTCAGAAAATACAAGAAATACTCAGAAAAAATAAACTCAGGTGATTGGTCTGCTCATGTCACTACTGAAGGCGACTACACATGACTTTACTACAGGTTGAGATGGAGGGAATACCAGATTATGTTTAGTCTTAATTTGTTGTACAGAAAAAAAATCTTGCTAATTTTAATTATTATCAAACTAGCAATTCACAAGATGCACTTTTACACACATGGACTGTCGTAACTGTAATCAAACAACTAGTAAAATGAACAATAACAGTGTTCATCAAGCCAAATCTACATCTATTAGGGCATTTAGCAAAGACTTGATGACACTGTGGGAGGAATTGGCTTCACCTTTCTTCATCCCTAACATGACTTAGCCTAGAAATTGTCATGAACTTTGAATATAAAGTCTAGCAGGAGGCGGTTACGGAGGCAGAGGGAGGTAAAGACCGCATGCGTGGGCAGGACATGGGGTCCGTGGACTACCAACACATACCACGTCCACAGTCACCGACTTTAGACAGGGCTTGAAGGACTGCGAGAGCCAGTAGTAGTCAAGAAACAGCAGGAGCTGCAGCTCCGGAAACAAACACTCTACATGCTGAGAGTGCGCGAGCGTGAGTGCGAGAGAGAAACAGAGAAAAAGACAGTGACGACAAGTGTGAGAGGAGGCGGGAGAGCAGACGAGATGGTGAGAGTGAAGTCAAAATAAAGCCAACACAGTACAGGCCATGCAAAATGTACACGGACGACGAAGCTCAGGCGGTCAGACTATATGAATGAGCTGAGAGCAGACGACAGAGCGGGGGCGTCTCACCTCTCTCTGGTCGTTATCTAAGTAAAGGTGCTCGGCGTGCTGCTTCTGCCGATCCCTCCTCCTCCACTGGGCCGGGGCGCTCCTCTTGGCATATCTGCAACGCAAAACAACAGAGACATTGGAAAACAGCATGAAGGAAAGTTTGTTTTAGGTAAATATATATATCATAAAACGTGGAATACTCACTTGTTGCTGGTGGGCCCGGTGGAGAGCACATCAGACTGCAGTCGGGGGAAGAAGCCCTGCTCGTAGCGGCCCTGACCGATCTTCATGTCCAGCAGGTGGGGGTGCAGGGCGGTGTGGTCGATCTTTGACACTCTCATCTCAATGGCTTTCTCTGTGGCGGAGATGTAAGCGATGAGATCACGAGATGCATTCATGCTTTCATTCATTTTGTTGATTTCCTGAAATCTCAGTGCTTTCATTGCCCAGACGTGTGATGGAGCGTCCCTGGCATCACGACGAGTCTTTGGATTTGGGCAAAATCAAAATATTACGAGATCATCTGGTCATGAATCTTGCATTTATTCCAAACAGCTCATCAATCAGGAATGAAATGATTATCAGGAGGAAATGGTGGACTGTTATTTTACAGGGTGAATATCTTCTTCTCATTTCAAAGAATGTCCCAAAGTCTCTGCCATTTATACTAATTAATTATCAAGTGGGTGTTATCCTGACATCCCATCGTCCACAACGACATAATTTAGTTTTTTTTCAATCTTCTCACCAATCAACTTAGATTCTGGAGCAACTCTGTGCTGAGAAATCAGGATAACTGTGACTAAGCGCCTTTAACTTCAGATTTAGCAATCGGTTGACACCAGAAGAAAGAGAGCACATTAAAACTGAGGAGAAGAAGAAAAAAAAAACATCCTCCCAAACACCCACAGAATCGAAAGAAGTGACAGAAAAAAAGCCTAAGAATAGATGTTCTTTTTCTTCAAAGGAAGCCAGCCCAGAGTCGTATGAATGCAGCTTTCGACAGTGATTTTCTGATCAGCAGCACGCCCACACATGGGCTGTGTTGACTAAAGCACCCATGAGTTTAGAGTAATAAAACCAACTTTAATAAGAACACTTCCGAAAGTCAGCGAGCGGGCACGAAACAGGCGAGGTGGGAAATACAGAAAGTGTAGAAACGCAGCAATAAAACTGAAGGAAGAGACTTCAGACAGAATCCATCATCACCCATTCACCTGCATGCGGCAAGTCCACCAGGATACAGATCAATGATTTGTAATCGCTAAACAGATCACCGAAAACTGCATGTATGCAATGCACAGAGGCTCTCACAGAGGACTCTTACATTCACAGCATATTGTGAAAAATACAAGTTTTTTGTTGTTTTCTGCATAAAACACTATTATATTGAGTTATAATGAGCACGAGGTCGAATGAAGCCTCTCCGTCCTCTGTGAGCGAGCCTAACGAAGTGCACTGCACACTCATTCAGAGAGCTGCCACCCAGGGATGTTCAAGGTAATGAGAACAAATATTACGATGGTCCGTCTCGGCGTTCTTCAACCCGATGGCACGAGGTCCAGGAGCGACAAAATCAGCTTTTTCGTATCGCTTTTTTAGCAGCTTGTCTGCAAACAAGACAGCAATTACCAGTCAGGTCTGTCAGAAGTCCAACCCTTTAAATGAAGTTATGGCCACGCTCACTGAACTTCACATTAAACGAGCTTTACAGGACTTTCTATAATTACATTCACAAAACTTTAAATTGTTTGGCTTTACGCAGGGTCAGAATGAAACGCTACAGAGGTCTGTGTTTTATGAAAGGACAGGATGGTGAAGCTGTTCGTTTTCAGAGCCTTCATTAGTGCACAGCGATCAGTGTGTGAGAGGTGTTTATCCAGAGACACAGTTCAGTGCAACGTTTGAGAGCTGGAGAGCAATCCAATTATGTTCAAAAGCTTTCAAAAGTCCTTTTTTTTATTTTTTGAAATCCTCAAAGCTTTCAAGGATTTTCTTTTTCTTTTCCTTTATAATTTATTTATCCTTTTACTTCACACATACAAACGAAAATGAAAACCCCAAACCACCCACATATACAAAAAAAACAACTATAAAAACACTTTATATCACTGTCAGATGAGTAGAAAACAATTCATTCATTTAATGATGTTATGCAGACAAAGACAGAATTATAATAACGCTGCTCTTATACGGGGATATGAGTTCATTCTTTCTATCAGAAGTGTCTAAAAAATTCGCTCTAGATGTTGAGAAAACTGAGTTAGACCTTACACTAGAACATAATCTCACCGGCTATATGAGAGATCATTTCATTTATTCATAAAACTGGAGCCTCCAGTATCTCTGAAATAAATCTCTCCACGACTGCAAAATGCATCTCTTTGCTGCAGCCATAAAACTGTGTTTGTTCTGGACTGTGATATATAAACTTTCATGCTGATAAAACCCTTTGAACTGAACTGCAATTAACCTCAAAATAATAATAAAAAAACTTACAAATTCAACTAAACGAAGGCCAAAAACTGGTCATTAAAGTTATCGACTTGTTCCTGTAGTAAAACTTGGTGTGAAGAGTTTTAACAGCAAACAATTCTGGGTAACAAATAGAAACGACAGCAGCACGTTTTCCTTTAACATAAATCAATAAAGGATTTAACTGTTTGTTTATGGAACCCTTTAATTCAACAGCTCCTCTAAATGAATAAAGAAATGTGAGCGATGAACCCGCTTTACAACGGGAGGTAAAAAGGTGTCGACCATTATAATAAAATCACACAGAGAAGAAGCTCATATAATCTGGTTTTGAAGGGAAAACAAACAAGAGCTGGGACACCACCAATGGCCAGCAGGGGGCGTGGCTGAGCTGGTTGGCCAAGGTAGGTGATAAATCCATAAAGAAGTTGAGGCCAGACTTCTTGGATTTTGAAGACATATAGAGATGAGCAGCTGGAACAGATTTTTGTTTATAGCATGCAGGGTGAACTTTGGGAAACAGATTTACCAAATGTGTCCAGTAGCTTTGATGAAACAAAAAAGAAATAATGTGGCAACATAAAGCAATATTAATCAAACATGAATCCATTAAAGAAAAGGCTAATAAAAGTAGAAATATAGAGACAAATAAATAAAATGATAAAAACAACAATAATGTATTTTCTAATTATTTTATTTTATTTTTTAAATGTATTTATTATTTTTTAAATGTGGTAATTATCACTATAATTCATTTATTTTTTATTATTTTATAATTTATTTTTTTAAATGATTTTTTCTTTTTCTTTTTTTATAATGTCGCTTTAAAAGCAAAGGAAATATGCGCACGACGACATTCCTACTGCACACATTTTTCTCAGCATATTTCCTTTGCTTTTAAACAGACATTATAAAAAAAGAAAACAAAAAAAGAAAAATGTAAAAAATAAATTAAAAAAATAATACAAATTAAATTAAAAAAACAAAAACTAAAAAATAATAAATAAAATAAATGAATAAATTATTATTATTTTATTTATTTGTCTTTATATTTCTACTTTTATTAGCCTTTTCTTTTATGGATTCATTTTTGATTAATAATGCTTTATACCGCCACATTATCTATTTTTTATTTTATTTTTTCTTCTTTCTATTTCCACTTTTATTTTTACTTATCCTTTTATTGATTTATTTTTGTAATCTGGCACCTCACACCTCCATAAACTGGTGCTACACTTAAAAAAAAAAAGAAGGATTACTTGTGCCAAGTTTTTGTCAGTACTAAAGAAAACATGTCACTGGAACAGTAATCAGCAAAAGACTTGATGCTCAGTTCTTATGCCAACCAGAGACTTTGGGGGTTTTCTTACCTGCTTCTTCGATGTTGGTGCATTTCTGGTACATAGAAGTCCTCAGCGTGGGAGTGCGAACGTTCAGCATGCGGATCTTATCCACGCGGGAATCAAACACCCTCAGCGTGTGCTCCTTCTCCTCATCGTCATGACAGAGGATCTTACTGTCGATGAAGGAGGCAAACATCTGGGTCTCCAGGAAACGTGAGAGGAAGGGCAGGTAGGGTTCTGGTTGGTCGGACAGGAAGGAGGCCTGCACGCGAACAGAAATATAAAAAAGGGGATTTCAGTGTCATATAACAGCCATCACGACATGCTGCTCATAACAGGCTATCTGCAGGCACTGTACCTTGTCAAAGTTCTGCATCTGGTCACGATTGGTGAACCAGGACTCCTTGTCCTGGCTGGGCTGGATGACGAACACCTCATAGTCGGCGAACATCTGGGTGAAGCGGTTGGCGAAGACCTCGCGCACCTGGATGTTGAGCTGGTGCATCTTCAGCTCCTCCTCATCGCACTGAGCCCGAGCATCCTTGTAGCTGCTGGCATCCTCTCTCACCTCCAGCTGACGAGCACAAACGTTCATTAACACACTTTGTAATTACAGATGTTGATCAATTATAACGCACAATATAAAGAAAGGCTTGGAGAAAAAAACAGGGAAAAGCGTGCGAGACAGAAGCCAGAACAGCATCTTGTGTTCCCTTGCGACCTTATCTGACTGTTATCAAGGCTGCTGATGAAGCAGCGGGGTTATGGGAAAGGAAGTCAAGGACGTGTGTTGTGATTTATGCCCCGACTCAAACCGAAACAGAAAGTCTTTTTTTAGCGTGTCAGCAGGTCATCTGGACAGATGCCAGCTCTAGCAGGCTCACCGCTGTGTCTACGCACAACAAATGCTGCAGTTCGGCGACATGACCCGGGAATCTACTTAATCACTGCCTCGTTTCTTTAATTGAAACTCAACAGCGAGTTCAGATAAGACTAATTATAAGCAAGGTCTGACCTCGTAGCTGGAAAACTATACACAGATGACGCGCTAATCCATTCATGGAACGCTAATGCCGGCCACAAGTGCGTAAGCTGATTAGCCCGTACGTTTAGAGACCAGTCCATTCATGCATCCATCAGCCTTTAGAGGCAGCATTTCATCGCGCCGTTTACTCCTATTTGTAAAATTGTGTCAAAGCGAATGGAAATGAGACGGTACAGATGTCAACTACATCTGTTCACGTCCGTGTCTGTAAAGGGTTTCTGTCATCTAGCTGTGAGATATCGACCATCAAGGGCTGCGAGAGCCGATGTTTTCAACTGATGGAGCCACTTATAGGAAGAAAAAAACGCTTTGAAGACGTCTGTGGGTGACACTGTGACAGCTTATTGCTCCTCTGACATGATGGGAGGACGTGGTGCCTATAAAACTGCATGTAGACGATAGACAAGACCGTAGAATTTACACAATAAAATATCAATATATTACTCAATATAATAGATAACAAATATCCCAAACAGTTCAATAACACTGTTTTCTAACTGACAGCACAATTCTTATAAAAAACACTAATTACAAACATCTGTGTCTCCTTTCCTGTTTTTACAGAGCATTAGTCAGTTCAGTATTAAGTGGGGCTCCTGCTTTGTTTTCTGTCTCTTACTGCAGTAATTAAAGTGATAACTGAGAATACCATAAAAGTTTGCACTTTCTCCGTCCATAATTATCGACTGAGGTCCCATTTCTATTCATACCTTTGCTCCTCTCAACATCTTTGTCCACTAAATGATTTAAAAATTGGCAAAACATAATTACATATACACGGGAAGACATTAATTCCAAATGAGGACGTTTCTGTATGAACAAGTCGACCCTTAAAAACGGGAATAAACCCGAGTTTGAGGCATAATAAGGTTTAATATATAATTTTACTGTGAAGTCATTAAATATTACTTCTAATTGATCGAGCCTTATGAAGCTCATTCTCAGTAATCTCTTTTCACACAGACGTCTGTTTCATTTTAACTCGACGAGAACCTTGATGACCCGACAGCTAATATTCAATTCCGTATATTATAATAAAGCCTCCTTACGATATAATTTATTCCATCATATTGTGATGGTTTTACGGTCACGATCTCATTTACAGTCGCTGTGAGCGGGCCGTCTTTAATTCATGGGATGACATCATTTCTCACCTTCTCCAGGCTAACACCTGTCCTCTTGACCAGAGCCTGCAGTCTGGCAATTGTTTCGTTCTCTCTCAGCAGGTAGGAGTTGAGGGGCGACGCCAGGTTGCCGTTGCGCTTGTCAGAGACCATGTCAACAGATCGGAAGGTCCGGTATTTGGCCTGGCTGTCGCTGGAGTGAATGTGTCCCTCTGGAGACACGCCGAAGGACATGAGTACCTCCGAGATCTCCTGAATGAACTCTAGCTTGTTGGGAAACTGGGGCAGCTCCTCGGGCAGTTCGATGAAGTGGTTATCGATGTCCACGAAACACAAGTTAGCCTGGAAGACGACAAAGAAGAGAAGGTAATGAAGATGGAAAATAGAAAGCTGAATGCACAAAAAGCATTATCGGTGCTCGAACAAGTCTTAATATTATTATTACAAAGCCCTTCAGGTTTTTTTGGTGTAACCCACTGATTTACCTTTTTTCAACAAGCCTGTGCATGAAATAGGAAACAAAACACTTGGTTCGAATGAGCTGCCAAGGTTCAAAACATCTGAAGAAACTAAATACTTCAATGCAGAGGGATGAGAAGAAGCAACGTCTCAGCAGAGCAACCGAAGTCTAACCTACGCAGAATAACAAACCTGTTTGTTCTGACTGTAATTAAAGCACTGAAATGATACAGCGAGCGTGTCCTCACGACAATTAAAGGCAAGCTGAGATTTATGCTCGTCTCATTTGTTCATATTTTTAATCAAGCTTCTAAACTGCACTTAAGAGTCAAGAGCACTTATGAGCGCATGGAGGCAAATGTTGGTTTGTAATCCGTGTAGATGGCAGAGAAATAGAATTTACAGTTCTCTTCACACCTCTTCACTTCCGAAAATCGACATCCCTGCAGCCATGAAATCAAATACTAAGCGGTGACACATTAAAATTAAACAAATGAGATGAAGTTTCGACTCGGTGTAGGAGGACGCTGCTGCTGCTGCTGCCGGTTCATACCTCCTGGGGCAGCTCCAGCTTGGTGCGGTCGTCCTGCCCGTTGGAGTGGAGGCCCATGAGATAGGGCACGGGAGCGTCCAGGAAGTGGAGGAGGGAGGCGGGCAGAATGGGAACGTACACGTGCTGCCACTGGTAGGGGAACATTAAGGCCGTGATGCTTTCTGCCACCGTCATCAGCCTCTGGTAATCTGTCGGACACACACAGGAGCGAGCAGAGGTGAAGGAAAGGCTGTAATCATATAAAAGCCAGCAGCACACACAGTGAGAGCATACTACGCTGCTTTCATGTTTGTCTCCTAATCTGATTATTAAACCCCCTTTTTTTTTTATAACAGCTACGAGTACATGAGAACATCTTTTCCTGACTGCAGCCCGATTGTGAAATCAACCGCATGATGAAGCCGCTTCGATGATGTAGACAAGGCGGTAAACATTTTTGACAACATTTACTGAACGAGAAAACAGGCCGAACTAGTCTTTCCCCGTATTTTACTCCCCACACAGCTCGTAAACAGTCCACGACAAAGGAGCTGTGCAGCAGGACTGTCTGTTATTTTAATGGGATTACATTGTTGATGCCTCGCTGTTCTGTTTGCTCTCCGAGTTCGAGATCAGTCAGCAGCAGCAGCAGCAGCACGCGACGTGATGGTTGGTCCTGCTGTGTCTGCAGTAGCAGGAGCGCAACTGTACGGGTTCATCTAAAAACGTTAGCGCACACTGACAGCATTTTCTGATGTATGATTCTATATGGAAATAAACCATAAATCACTTCTGATTGGGTGGGGCCAAAAAAGACAGTTTGCAGCCACCAGTGTTCGTGTTAACTGTGATAACTAACAGACACTGACAAGACAAAAAGAAACACCCAACCCCGATGCTGTGCTAAATGTCTGACTGTCTTTGTTGTTTTCTGTTCTGTAAGTGAAGGAGTGGAGCTGGAACAACGACCGACCTAAATGGATTCATATGTGAAGACAAGCCGGCTGTGTCCAAATTTAGAAGGTAAACGATGTGAATATTTGAGCCAACAGACACTAGCAGGGAACATGGGTGACCTGGGACAGAACTCTTCGTTTATCTGCTGTACTCTTACTCTGAAGTAAGCATTGGACACATCTGGTGGAGTATTTTTAGTGAAGTAGTATTTGTACATTGTGCTAACGTTATTGTAAATACTACAACTTGTACTCCAAACTCTGTAACCTGTTAGCATGAAGCGTGTCCCTGTTACCTGCTGGTGTTCACACTGTGTGGAGCATTTTAAGGGCACCACGCTGGTGCTACACCGGCACATTTTTCAAATTCTTCACTGCCTGAACACACTATTAGTTTTGGTCTCTGTAAAGCTTCAACATCTCATTTGAGGAGGAAGTCCTCTGCAGGGCTTTCTGTGGCCTTGGAGGATCCAGACTCTAGAGTGTGACACAGCTGCAGTCAACTGGCCTTCTGGCTAATGTTGAATTCCTTTAGCATGACTCCACACAGCAACACTCCTTCATGTTCAGGGCTTCACACTCGAGTCAACCGGTATACAGGCAAATATGTGTCCAGTCCTCCTCATCTGCATTCCTGTTCTATCCCGTTGACACCTACTGCACATTCGGGAGCAGCAGCTCTGCCTCTCCTGTTATGGTGCCAAAATAAATACCATTCCTTCATTTGGTCATGTGCTGGTCCATGGGAAGAGGCTCTCACCCCGGCCTGGGCCTCCCCCTCATCCCTCTTCTCAGCAGGCTTCCTCTCCCAGGATGGGGACAAGAATACTAACATCAGCCGCCTCCTTTTAAACTAGGCCACCATAACAAGAAACCACTTTAACAAAGAGTCAAGTATTGCTGCTTATATACACACGGCCTCATGCCGTCAGCGTTTCAGAAAAGTCAACAGTGAGAGCTGGTAGCAGTTTGGACATGAAGTGATGCTTTAACTACTCGGTTTACACACCGAGTGCAAATTATGCAGTGAAGCAGGTTCAAAAATACCCTGATATAGAGAAGTGAAACGGGTACAGATCTTATACCGCAACGCTATTCTGAACACACAACTTGTTTTCAAGAGTTGTTTAAAAATCTGCAGATAACTCTCCTAATAACTCGGTAAATAGTTTGTTAGCAAATAGCCATGAACTTATCAAACAGCCTCAGATATGATTTTCTGATGATGTAAATGATGTGAAACTAAAAACTGTGAATCCGAACATAGCTGTGCATGTTCCATAATAAATGATTCAGTCCTGTCTTTAAGCTAGTGCGACTAAGCTGACTAATATTTAAATACGGTTATTTGCAAGTTTTGGAATCATGAAATGCGTAAATGTAAATCCCCGGTGCTCATCTGTGCAGGGGCTGAACGATCGGACCGACTCTGTACCTTAAGGCCACAGATGAAGACGCTGTGATGACGGAGGTGCAGCTTCAAATGTGTTCATTTCATTTCCACCCTTGTGGCTCAGATACATGTAAATGCATCACGGCTACATCCTCAGGCCAGATCTGTCCTTCACACCTTCATGTACCTTCTCCTCTAATTTGTCGTGCTGCTCTCAGCTGCACAAATCACGTAATAAGAGTGAAGGCACGTAAAATAAAAACAACAAACGGTGTGTAATATGATGCAGGCTGATGCTGCTGTTTGACGGGTAAAGAAGCAGGCGGCACTCGAGATGCTTTTCTTTTATGGCTTGATGGAAAAGATGCTGGCCGAGGTCTTTTTTTTCTTCTTCTTCTTCAATCAGAGTTATGAATTCTCGTGCTATTTTTAGCGCGCACACACACACACAGTCGCCTCCTTATTTGCAGAACATCCCTCCGCTCGCTGTGTGTGCATTTAAATGCGCGTCGTCTCTTTTCGTGGCCGACTGCCAGGGCTTAACTCTACACAACACCCTTCACATGTTCTGCAGTGATGAGCCTCATGGGGGTGAAAAGAGGCATGATGTCACTTCCAACCAATAATAATCATCCTGCATCGCTGCTATCCTCCCTGTCTCCGGGTTACCTAGCAACACCACAGCTTTCCCCCTTAAGAGCTCCCCCCCCCCAGCCAATGCCGTTTTGTAAACCATTTGCCTTCTCTTGCCATTGTAATGGATCCAATCACCACACCAGAGCCAGCATCCTTAAGTGATCTCCTTGTTCCTCCACACACACACACACATTCTCCCCAAATGGTGACCTGAATGGCACCTTTTTGAAAAAATTAATTCTGCTCAGCACAGAATGAGCTGAATCTTTACCGAACAGTCGATCCTAACGAATAAGTGCTAACGGGGATGAGCTGGCTGCGTTTTGTGAATGCTAACAGGCTTTATTCTGATCGAAAGCTTCGATAAAATTATTTAATTGTCAGATTCTTGCTGGTTGTTGTCCGTATACACAGATCCCTGCTAACAAAACACGTTGACTCAGAGGTACGGTTCCTATTAAATACGAGTTAATTAAATAACAAACACAAGAAATTCAAGTTATAACCAGAAAATCTAAAGATTAGATAAAGAAACAGGAGGAGGAAGGTTGTACTGAAGGAGCCAGTAAATCTGAAGCATGTGCTAGAAGATCGAACAGCCTCGGAAACCCCCCTGCACCCACACCTTCAGATGACCAAAGTGTCTGAACCACAACCAGAGCCTTAAAGCTACATCAGCGTGTTATAGGCAGGTCCCCCGACAGTATCTACTCTAATGTCATGACATTGATACGTCCCCTCGCCCCAAGGAGAACGCCTTCACTAACACGATCACATGACCTCACAATATTCAAACAAACAGCTGATACTGATAATTCCCGACTTACCTCTGTTTAGAAAACATGCACAGTTTTGTTGTTATGTGTTTATACTAAACACGATTTCACTATAAGCCAGACTACTTGTGTGTTTGTTTTAAACATGGCTGCAATGGAAGCCAGATGCACTTCATGTAATCAATGGGACTGGATGTTAGAGGCCACGTGAAAGAAAAACGAGTGTACCAGTAGCAGGTGAGCTACTTACGCTGTGAATAGAGCAGGATCTGCATCTCGAGCAGGGCACAGGTGAACAGCTGCAGAACGTTCTCCACCCCGAGCAGGTTGAACATTTCACTGATGGCAAAGTCAAAGAGCGGCAGCTCAGATGTGCTCGGCCTCTGGCACACCACAGGCCCGTAGACGCCTGAGAACTTGAGGGAACGCCCGGAGGGTGGCTGGGGCACCTCATAGAGGATGTTATAGATGTAGCTCTCCAGAGGGAGGGGCGGAGGCTGTGGGGAAGTGACAGCCTGGTGAAGCTGCTGCAGCACCTTCCTGCAGGCCTGAGCGAAGGCCATGGGCGTTATCAGACAGATGCACTTCGACACGTACAGCGTGTCGCGGCTGATGTCATAGGAGTTGAAGCGCTGCAGACGGGAGATGGAGGGCGCAGCGTGGAGCATGGGACGAGGCTGCGGGTGTTGGTGTCGCGGGTCCTCGGGCCCTTGCGGCGAGGTGGGCGTGTGCAAGATGTCGTACTGCTCCGCGTTGTGCATGTGGTAAAGAGTCTGCATGGCGCTGCAGATCTGCTTGCTGGTCACCTCCTCAAAGAAGGTGAGGGCAAAGCCGTAGGTCCGAGAGCCGTCCTCTCTGGTGATGATGAAGGAGTGGAACTGGGGCTCCCGGGAGTCCACCTGTGTCCTGAACGACAGACCTTTTGGCATGCAGAGCTGCGGGAGGACAAACAGGAAAGGAATCAGAGAGAGACTGGAAACAGCTTTAAATCACTGGTACAATGTCATCAAACAAGCAGCATGTGACACGTGCATCGGTTAACTGTAGGTGCTTTTAGGTGTAGCTTTTTTTACATTTGGATGAAGCTAGGCTAGTTTTCCCCTCAAGTGTCGGTCTTTATTTTAACTGTCTCCTGACTCACAGGCATGATTGTGCCAATGTTCTCGTCTAACTCATCCCAAAATACTGAAATATTCCTTCATTGTTTTTTTTTATATCTATGAAGCACAGGGTCCTGCTTTAAACCCCATCTTAACTTATGTTAGTATGCAACTCATGATAGAGAAAAGAACTTTTAATTCAATAACACTGATTTCAACCCATTCCTTCACTCTTAAAGCAAGCGAGGCTGTTATGTTGGAGCTGTGTGTGGATCATACCATGCCAACTGCATCCTGGTCAAATGGATTCCACTCGACATTGTCTGGATAATGTGCTAGGACTTTGGATTTAAAGGTTCTCCGCAGGGGACTCTGCTCAAAATTCTCACCTGGAAGCAAAACAAATAGAGAAAGTGCAAAAAAACAAACAAAAAAAAAAGGAGACAAAGAGTTAGCACAGGTTTCTAGACACAAGAGCAGAAGAACAGTGATCAGCAGCAGGCTTAAAGCGCCAAGCACAACTCCAGAGGAAAGAGCAAATCAGCATATTTGTCTTGAGAGGAAGATTGTATTGCATCATATAAAGCTGTCACTTGCATCCAAAGAGTAAACAACCAGCAGCATCTAATCCTCCAGAATAGATCATTTATCATGGAAAAGATGCCTAACTTTATTCGTTTTAATGCCTTCCGACAGCTTTAATGGCAATACAAAGGGACACGGAAAATAATCAGTCATAGAAGCACAAATTGAGTTGATTTGAACCCAGAGTAAAGCAGAAGTGATGCACACACCAAGGCAGGACTGAAAAGTCATTCAGAGTGTAAAGGGGAGAGTAAACATTGACCAAGCAATGCCAGCGCAGGCAGCACTGGATTTGTGTGTGTGTGTGAGAAACAGAAGCGGTGATTGTCAAACATCAGCTCATTGTTCGGCTGAAGGAGGTGAAGGAGACGGAGGAGGGGAAACGAGAAACCAGGAGGAGAGAAATCAGAGTGCGCAAAAACAGAAAGGGCAAGTTCCCACACCTGTGCAGAAAAGAACTGTGAAAACTCAGACTTGGAATTAACGAAAGAGGGCTGCTGAAGAAAAACTGGAAAAATTAAAAAAAAACACACACAGGACACAGTGCACCAGGTTGAAGGTTGAAGGGTTAAAGCTGAGCTCAGGTTAGGAGGGAGAGGAGTGTGTGTGGCGGGAGGGTTACCTTCATTTGCCCTTGCCAATTTTCCTCTGGCCCCATCTCTGAATTTAGTAGCTTCTATATACTGGCATAAAGCTACACAACAAATAAAACAAAAAAATAATTAAAGGCCTGGTTCTGGATGGGTCGCGCATCACTTCTCAGTCTGTGTAAACACATCCTGGCAGCTCTGCTCCCAAAAGAACAAGCTGCACACACACACGGGACATTATCACGTCTGTGTCAGGTGGGTTTATGCTAATTCAAACCAGCCGCTGGGGTTACCATACAAAAGGATGCAGCACTTCTCTGTCTTCTTCTGGGGATCGTACAAATCCACAGTGGTTGAACATGAACACATTTTCAGTACAAGCTGTGCTCGCAGCTCTGTCAGGCTGTAATTAGACACAGCGGTGCTTTAAGCTAAATGCTAACCTTAGCATGCTAACATGGCAATATGATGCTGTGCAAATGGTATAATGTTAGCCATCTTAGTGTAGCATGTTAGCATCCTAACACTGGTTTAGCATGTTAGCATGACACAGACACAAGAGTGAATTATTTAGCACAAATCTAGAGCATTGTTTCTTCTATCTGTCATCATAAGATTATAAGGCTGGCAATATTCTGCATCTTTAAGAAATCCAATAAACAGAATTTTAAAAATGGCTCATTGGTCTGTCTCTTTGAGGTCCATTGCTGTCCAAAAACTACACAGAACACAATAATAAAGCTTTGAACTGGATGACATGTTCCCTCATTAGCATCACACACGAGTCCTGTGGTTTATTTTGAGTGGATCCCACGTACGCCAACATGCTGCTGTAATTACTCACTAAGCACACTGAACGTGCATTAATCCGCCGCTATAAACAGTCCCTAACAAACACTGACGCTGCTGCTTTTTGGGTTCTGTTTGCTAGAAGTTGTTTGAGGGAATTACTGAGCGTTTGGAGGGTAAGAAAGATGCAAGATATTAAAAAGAGGTATGCAAAAGTATTTACTAAAAATACACGTATGTTGAAATGAACGCCAACATTTTACATCCTCTTGTGATTTCATGCTGAAGAAACCTTTCACAATGTGGCACATCGCTCTAATATGTGGATCCCATCACTGGACAGTCATGAGTTAGATGATAGTGAATGGCTGCTTTTGTATTGCAGCCCTGGAGTTAGGTTATCTAACATTTTACGTTTTTAAAAAAGACCCTTTGTACCCTTTTGCAGGCGACCAAAGCTACTTGCTGTCTTCTTCAAGCGTGACATTTGCTGAGCACCAATGAAACAATCCTGCTGGCACAAAAGCACATTCATGCAGCACGTAAAAGCCGAATGTAAGTTGTGTGACGCATGCCGTCTTCTAGCGACATCACTTCAGCCTCAGACTAATGCTGCTCTCAGGCCTGTGCGATGTCAAACCAGGACACCCCCTTTCTGTGGACGAGGTGGTGTGTGAGGGGAAAATCAATTTTAATTGCATTTATAATATGGCTCTGTGGTGACACACACACACAAGAAATGATCAGAAGTCCAGTGGATTCATTAATTCCCAGAGAATCCTTGTTGGACTTCTGAGAATGACGAAAGTTGTGTTTTTAATCAGGTAGCGCGCTGATAGCGTTTCACCCCTGATGTCTGCAGCCTTATCCTCCCCAAAATCCAACAGAAACGTCACATTAAGAGTCGTCTGTACGTGGAGCCGTCTGAAACACATTCTGGCAAAGGGAATGATAGTCTTAAGGATTAAGTGGTGTAATCTCTTAGTTACAGTCATATCCAAACTGCCCACGGGGGAGAAACTAGGCCAGGAACTCAGACGACAAAAACGTCAGCGACCAAAGATGGGTCAGACGGGGAGATTATTATTCGTGGGGACAAAAATGGTCCTTAGATTTTTTTTTTGTACCACTGTGAAGACACAAGAAAACACTTTTAATAAGCATTTTTTTAGGCACATATTTGTCATCTGACTTGGTTTAAAGCAGATATAAAACACTGCATAGCTGAAATAACGAACTAACTTCCGTTATTCATGTAAATGTAGGTCGAATTCCAGGACGGAAAGTGGAAACAGACCGTCAGCTGTTTCAGCAACACATCTGGAAGCATGTGCTCGACCAACAACTGCCTCTTTTTTATAAGATTAATCAGCACTGAGTACAATACAGCCAACAGTCAGCTTCAGTTTACATAAATCACAGCCACAATCACACCCACAGCAGGACTCTGCACTGATACAGGAAAGTTTGTTGATTGTAAGAATCATGAGGTTCTCATCACGGCATTTATAAAGCCAGCGCCAAGCAATCCTGGCTGGGATGTAAAATATAGAATCTATAAATATATAAAACAGTGTTTTCCTAAAGTCTGAATGTACGTTGTGATTAACTCTCTAAGAAAAAAAACATGCAGCGCTATTACCTGGTTTAATTAAGAAACTTTATCTGAAGAGTGTAGAGAATAATGTTGGGCACTTCAAATAAAAAAAAATAAAATAAAATACAAAACGGCATCACAGGATACCATTCATTATAATGAAGTCATCATGAAAAGGTTTTTGTTTCCCTGTCATTGTGACGCACAGACTTGCAATTCAATTCTATTATTATTATTATTGTTGTTAGTTTATTTATTTTCTCTAAGTTTACCTCAATTATTTAAGTCCTCATTTTTTTGTCATTATTAGTTTTGTTGATGATGTAAATACGGTTTCCTTGTTCTGAAAATGTTCCTTAAAAATGTTAAAAGTTCCCCCCCCCCAAAAAAGAAAGGTTTTTGTTTATAAACGACAATATGAAAATGAAAAGTAATTTAAACTCCTGAAAGGGAATATATTGCAGATGAATCCATTTGTAGTTGATAAAAACATCCTTAAACACAAGCACTGACATTTAAACATATAAAAGGAACGGACACGAAAAACATGTAAACTGGAGCGGCTCATTTCCATTTGTATCCTAATAAAATGATCTTCTACACTTTTACAGCCACAGCATTACAAGATAAATAGAAACCATCATCCTAAATCTGCACACTCATATCTGAACCTGCTGAGTTTGAAATATGATTATTGTGACGCTGCACGTTTTCCTTGTTTTTCCACACAGGAAGCTCTGATGCGTAACATCATGAGTCAGCCTTCAACCAACGTCTTCATCTGATGATCGGCCTTAACTACGAGCCACCTGCTTCACCTGGAGGAGACGCTTGTTGAGCGCCGACCAGACTCAGCGGCGTAAACGTCTTCTTGGTTTGTCATATTTCCTAACAAACGGACAGCGATGCCACGAGCGTGGACCGGTAGTAGTGGGAGTAGAGCGTCACTGAGCTCCGGCTCCTCATCCTGCGAGCCAAGGACCACCCACAGCTCTGCACCCCGCTGCGCTCACACACCCTCACACCTACTACAGCTCGGTCCACCAGGAAGGCAGGTACCTCTGTGAGTGGAAAAGCCAGAACTCAAGCACGACTCGACTTGACAGAACGCGGTGTAAAGGCTGCTTCCAAACAGCTCGGCAGCAGAAGCATCAACACTCGTTCACCTCGAGGACCCGGCGGTGACAGAACATGACGGCTCACTCGCAGCTTAAACTCACCGCTTTCACAGCTCAGCAGACACAATGTGGGTTTTTTTTAGAGTATGTGTGCTCAATAAAAGGATGCATGTTGGGTTTTTTTTTTTCAGTTCTTGCAGCGTGGAGCGATTCTGAAGCTTTGTTCATTCACATTAGTGGTTAACACCACGTAGGGTGATGCTAGCTGCAAAGAAAAAAAAACTCGCACTACTTCCTGGGTAGTTTCAGGTCAAAAAAAACAGCCACAGTGTCAATAAACGCTACACTGGACCTGCTGGAAACCCAAATACTGACTTATACACGAGCCTACCATGTTTTCTTGGCCTCCTCTTTCAGAAATACTAAAGAAAAAAAACAATCTGGGAGATACCTAAAGTCACACTGTCTAAAAACACAGATCAACACAATATGAAATATGAAACAGAGCCAGTGTAAATCACCACAACCACCCAGACCGATATCTACACCACATCTACAGCTAATAAGACGCCGCCGCCGACCAGACACCTGTAAATCTCTCACGTAACACGACGGCCTGAAAATCCAGCTCTAGAAACATCTGCCGGCAGCCGCGGGATTGGACGGCAGGAGATACGCAGACTTCAGGACAAGAATGTGCAGGTTTAATTGCTGTGCCATGACAGTGAAGAATGTAAACCTTCACTGTTGGAGAGCTCATCCAAAGCTGCAGTCTGCTCACAGAGGCTTATACAAAGAGAGAGCTGCATTAATGAGCGAGGGAGAGAGATGTTTCTCCACAGTGAATCAAAAATTTATCACCATGTGGAGGCAAATCAAACTCAGGAGGTTATCTCGGGACAAAATCAACTCCCAGTATGGTAGAAGTGAAATCCTCAGATTAGCAGATTTTGTGTTGGGAAGTTAAACAATCAGGGCTTTAATGAGAGTACACATAGTTCATGTCGTCTTAGAATTAACATTTGCAATATATTTGCCATCTATTAGAATACAGTCGTGACTCGATAATCGACCCTTAACAATCCTAAACCTGCTATCTGACAGGTTTTTAGGAAAAACCAACAGAACCCATAAAAACAGCCTTAACATAGCGACAGCCTTGGATTGTGACTCCGACATGACATTTAATGTCACCAATCAGGATGACGGCGTATTATCTGACTGAACAATCCCACAGATTGGCTACGTTCACACTGCAGGACTTGATGCTCAATGAGGATTTCTTTGTGACTTCCTTCACGTTTCCAGTTCAATGCGACTTGTATGTGATCTGCTGTGTGAACTTCATACGACCCAAAAGTGTCCCGCATGCGCAGAAGAGGACACGACGACGTCACACGCAGCGAGCGTGCTCAGTGTTTATGGAAGTAAACATGGATGGTAACGGTGGAGCGTATCTGCCACTCCCCCGCCGCCACCGATGGAGGAAACAGAAGTGTGAGCGCTAACTAAACTAGCATCAGCAGCCAAGTACTGCCTGTGTGTTCTGGACACTTCCACCCCGTCAGAGCGCTGCCCCGGGGTGGAAGTGTCCCCCGAC